GGAAAGTTAAGTGCAGATACACACAGAGCTCCTATCACTACATCAAAAGGCTACTCAAGTAAGACAATGCTTGAGAGTTCTCTGAAATACAAAACAACCATCAGAATGTGTACAAAGATTTTCTTTAAGCAGCAATTGGCCAAAGTCATAACACAGTTTAAATGGATCAGTACCTGAGAACATTCTGATGAACCAGAAGTTCTCAGGTCAAGTCTCCTGTGCTGAAACCAGGAGCTCTTTGCATTCTAGCCATGATCTGGAGAATACACATTCTCAAGAACACAAAGCTTTTGCCTCTGTAATTGATCTCTGTGCAAAGAAAACTCTACAAGAGCTGTTTTATTCAGTAGTTTTAGCCTTCTCATCCACTTCACTGTTTAATTATTGTCAACTAACTTCCCACTGTAATTACTGGGGCTGTAATTTCAGGAATCTTTTCCTCCTCGCCTCAAATCTTTTGGATTACTTTTGGCTCCTAAATTTTTGGAAGAGAAAGTTATGTTTACAAAACTATCCAAATAACCCCAAAACTGAAACTAGCTGAACTGCTTGTTAATGTGACAAAGCCAAATAAACACCCAAACCCAAGTAAACACCCCAAACAACCAAAACACTCACCAGAGTATTGCTCTTCTTAATATCTTCTAAACGCTCTAAGACTGAAGTCAGGTTTGGGTCATCTGATTCTACAAACCATATTGGCGATGAAGAGGGGTAAGACTCCTGTTAAGAAAAAAAACACAAACACAAGATCCAACAAATAAATAAACAAAAAAAACTGAGAGGTTTTAAAACTCATTCACAACAGTATTATCACCTTTTATATTACTCTATGTCAAGCAACATAGAAGCTTTTAAGACAATATTTTTAGGCAATGCAAAAGAAGTTGAAAGAAATCCAACCAACTGGTTCTTCTAGTATTTCATCCTATTTTCATCTTGCTCAGATGATGGATATACACAGTGCTAAAAAGTTTAAAACCCTGAGGGCAGGTGGAGCAGGAGGGAGAAATTTAAAATGCAGTACAGGTGATGATTTAAAAAAAAAAAAAAAGGATTCCCAAGTAGAACATGTCAAAGAATAAAACTATATTGATGCTGATTTTTCATAAAACCACAGATTTTTCCAAATAAAAGCTGGGAAAGCAATATAACCTGCAGTCTTCAGACTTGCTCCTCAAACAGGATTATAGAAACTGTTCTAGCACTGACCCACAGACTAAAGCAATAACTTCACAGCTCAAATCTCCTGCCTTGGACGACAGTTAACTGGCAGATCACAACACCAAAAAATCTGAAATTTATCTTACTGCCATCAAGGCTCATAGAGGACTTTCCACTGCTGCAAGATTTCTCAAGCAATGCTTTGCATACAACCATGTCAAGAATCCCCTCCCTCACCTGCTGCCCACATTCCTTTGGATGCAGCCCAGGACACAGTTGGGTTCTGAGCTGTCAGTGCTCACTGCAGCTCATGGGGAGTTTTTCATGCACCATCACTCCCAAGTCTTTCTTCTCACTGCTTGTCTCAATGACTTCCCCACTTAACCTATAGGTGTGCCTGGGATCTCCCAGTTTAGAGACAAGGATGTCGTGTGGGACAGTGTCGAGGAACACGGAACAGATGTGACCCACAGCTGCTCATGCTATCCATGAGAAGTGGTTTTCTGTCACCAAACTGCCCTTCCAAAGGTGTCAGAGACCCTTGCTACAAGGAGGGTAAACAGAAGTTCTTTGCCTCTTGTTTAGATGTTTCAAAAAGCAATTCCAATTTATTCCTCACACAGGTTTGGTAACATCGTGACCATGTAGCTTCCAACTGAACACTAAGTGTTCCTTCATATCACTGGCAGGTCTGGATTTTGTTTGCTTTAGTTATTTAAGGTGTTCTCCACTCCTCAGTCATTCAATTAAACTTTAGTAGCCGAGGACAAATTGCTGAACCTCAGTTTTATCACCCAGATATTATCTTCATATCCCCAGGATTTACAAAATAACAAGGGAATTTTCATTTATTTCCCTCACTGCAGTTGCAAGGGAAAAATTCCATCTTTCTCATTCCAGAGCCAACAAATCATGCTTCAGCACTTAGAATCAAGGTTTGAAAACTGGAGCAAAATACAAGCATGTTTGAGCTGGCTCTCAATAACAAAGTGTATTTCCTAACTGACCTTTCAGCTCAAGTGCTGAACCCCACAAAGAAACCATGGGATCAGATAAAGGACATCAGCTTTGGCAAAACAGAGTTCCCATCTGGCACCATACTCCAGGGAAGCTCTAGCTCCAGAGGTCTAAAATTCCCACCTGTAAACTGAAGCCTTTGCATAAACTTTTTTAACAAGCTCAATCCCCTCAAGTTTGTACTTTTTTTATTCCTAAATCACAGCTAAAAACACCTTTCAAGACTACATTGTATTTCCAGTATCCTTAAGAAAAGACAAACTGTTCACATCTTTCATCTTCACTTCAAAGCACACTATACTCAAGGCAGTGACCTTAGAGTATCTAGTCTTGATTAATTAAGGCCTAACATCTCCAGTGTCTTTCAACAAAGTCCAGTGCTCAGCTCACCAAGATTTTAAGGCTAAGGCAGCTCACAGATGGGGAATTACATGTGGTTTAATCGCTTTCCTCCTTTACACTACTTGGGAAAAGTGTATCTTCTCCTCAGTTTCACTTAATACTCTCTTGAAAGATTAACCTCTATCCCAGCAGGAGAAGCAAGGGTGAATTCCTTGTTTCCAAACTATTATTTTTAGGAGCTAAACTTCATTAAAGATAGTCCACGTTTTGTACTGCTAACATCTCACTCATTTTTAATAACATGCAACCTACTTGTAAGGTCTTCTGCAATGGTGCAAGATTCTTACCTCAGGCACACAGATCTTGGTGCATAGTGGGACAGATCACAAAGGAAACTCTGCTAACCATGGCCCCACTGAAGATTTATTTTTGGGACCTGAACTTCTCTGGGCAGCTCAGTAAGTTAAGAGAAAGGCAGGAGGGCAAACACTACTACCACGACTTTATATTACACCAACATTCCCACCAGGAAATCCCAAGAACAAGCAAAATCCCTTCCAAGATTCCCTGAGCCATCTGTTTCTTAAAATCCTGAGACTCATTAGAATAAAAATATTCTCCAGATACAGTCAACACTTGGACTGTGTTTGCATATTCTCCTAACAGGTATTTTTGGCTTTTTTTAAATCAAGCTGGTTTTATATTCTGTTAGTCCAGGTCTAAGCAAGTCTATTAAGTGAAGAAATTTCTGGAAGACTAACAGCTGCCAGTCCCCTCTGCTAAGCCATATCTGGGCTCTGCAGATTGCTTACAGAATGGATCTCCACTCTTCACTGGCAATAGTCTTCTTTCCTGACAGTTTTGTTTCTCCTTTCTCCACCTGAAGGACTCATTGAACAAACCCACAGTAGGACACTTGCTGTTGCAACCAGTCCCTATCCCAGTCTGGGGGGCTGTAAAAAAATCTGCTCCAAAATCCTTGCAGCCAACCTGTCAGCAGCAGGAGCAAGACTGACAGTGCAGAGCTGATGATCCAGCAATCCCACTCTGTTTGAACACACTGCAGTGGCTGCTTGAGTGTGCTGCTGCCTTCTGTGAGAACTGCACTCCTTCCATTTTCTACACTGAAAACAAGAAGACAGCCAAGGGTTTGTTAGTGCCTGGATGATTAGTGTATAGCACATATGAATGACTGTGCTCCAAAAATTATTAACTATTCAAATTTTCAGTCTGCTTTAGCTTTTGCAACATGAATGGGAACAATGCACTTATCAGAAAGGCTTTTCTTTAACATTGTGAGCAATTTCCTCAGCTCAGAAAAGATTGCCAGTTTTAGATTTTTTGCATTATGGATATTTAATTAATTCCAACTTTTTCACAACAGATGCTAAGTATGAAAATACAAGTTCAACCCAAGTTTCTTTTGTTGCAATGTTTAGTTCTTCAGACTCACCAATAAATCTATTCATTTAACTTGAGAAATATAAATGGCATTAAGTTTCTCTAGATCTCTAAGTAATCCATATTTTTGGAACAGCTGATTTCCACGCGGATATGAGTCACTGTATTTTGAAATACAGAATACACACACATTCTGATCCCAAGATACAAACTCATGAGCCTGTTTATAAGAACCATAGCATGCAACTTATAGCTAAGCTTGTGCTTTGTAAGCTCAAACAACTGAACTTCACATGAGCTAATTCTGCTGAGAGAATTAAGTCAGCTTTTTCTTCCCTAGCTGCATCCTACAGAGATAAGGGTGGATGTGTGTTATGTCATGGAAGGAACACAGGCTCCTCAAATAAACAAACAACATTTCACAAGAGGAACCCTGAACCAGCAGTTATTTTACTACTAATTCTTGGTGGCTCAAGCCCCATTGTTTTGGGCCTTTCCCTGTACAGCTGCTATAGTGTGATTTTGGATCTACAATCCAGCTCAGCTTAGGTAGCACCACATTAAATGTTCAAGACTTTTTATGTAACTGCTGGAACATGACATTTCCTGCTGTGTACGAGGAAAAGCACAAACTGCTCCCAAGAGGCAGAGGCTGCAGTGCTCGGTGCCTGATGCACAGCTCGGAATGCTAAGGTAGCTCAGCAAGGCGTGGTGACATCACATCTCCCAAGCACTGAGGCCTGAGGACAAAGGCTGGGGATGTTTACAGCAGCCCAGATACAATTACAATTCATGGCATCATCACTTATACAGCGTCTTTGTATTAGCACCAGCACAGACTGGGAACTTTGTCAACACAAATGTTTCTGGACCAGAATGCAGGGAAAGAATTTAGCTCCCCAGTAAACACAGAACATAAAGAGGATCAAGCCCTGCACTCCTGCCACAGGAACGATTGCAAAACCTAGCAAATCACTTCGGGAAACCACAGAGGATTGGAAGAATACACGTGGGAGCTCACTGTTCAGACATTCCATTGCATCCTCTCTAAGGGCTCTTACATTTTTCCTAACAATTTTGCTTCCCAAAATCTAAAAAGCAGCCAAAAGTGACAGAAGATTCCAGGAACACACACATTAAGACAGCTTTTCCTAGGCAGGATCTGTCATCTAAGTATATCCTATCTAAGCTTTCTCATCCTTAACAATAAGGCTGTTTTCCTTGCAATGTTATATAATCTTTATCCTGCTCTCTAAAGCTCCAGTGACACAATTTTGACGTTAGTAAGAGACTTGGAAATGAGCTGTTTCCAAATTACTACGACGCCGGTGAAATCGTGAAGCTGCTAAATTAAAACAAAACCTCTTGCTCTCACTCTTAAGATCAGAAAAACCTGTACACAGTTTGCTACAAGGGAATAGAGCAACCACATCTTGTACACAACTGAGCCACTTTCTCATGGCCAGATGTTAGGAAAACACATTGAAACACAGAACCACTGCACTGTGGTTTAAAAGCACAATTATAAGGTTCATGTTCTTTAATTTCCAGCTCCCCTTAGGTGGGAAAAGTGGGTGTTTCTTTTCCAAATCCTTAGCATATTGGCTGAATCAGTTTTATTTCTTCCCTGTTTATAAGTTTTTGCCAAATCCCCATCACTGAATTAGCCTAATTCTGTTCTTTTTACACCACCTACAACTAAAACTTAGCTAATTTTCATAACTGCACTTCTATCTTCTCAGTCCCCAAAAATCCTTCTTCCCTCTCCTTTGCTTCCAAACAGCAGAATATCACACTCC